CTCCTCCTCACACATCAGAGGAAGAAGCCACATCTCATCTCCTCCGTCCCGTGCGCACGCAGTCATGCTATATCGCACGCATGGCTGCTTTACGCAGCTCGTCTGTTTGTGCATTACAGAGAGCGCTCAATAGGGCAGCCTCTGTCTGCAAAACGCCTGTCACACTGGCTGTGTGAGGCTGTGTCACAGGTGTATGTCTCCTCTGGGGTGGATCCCCCGGAGAACATCAAAGCGCACAGCACCAGATGATTTTCCTCCTCTACGGCGTTGCACGGAGGAATGACAGTGAAGGACATTTGCACTGCTGCATCTTGGTCTTCCCCCTGTTCTTTTATTCGTTTGTATTTGAGGGATGTTTCCCATTCCTTTCTGACACACTAAGTACTGAGTGTCCTGTCAGAGTGAGTAATGTCGGGGACTCAACTGTGTGCCCTCTCTCCTGCCTGTCGGCACTTAGAGAGCTGCCCTTTTCCCCCTCTTTGATCGTTTTAACAAGTGGGACTTTGGTCTCTACTTTATATAACGACAGGTAGCCTATTTAGCCTACCTTCTTTCCCGTATGGAGAATATTCATTTTTTAATGCTATATTCCCTGGGAATGTGATGCTCCATTTACGCAGGACGAAATGGACATGGGTTATTAACTGAGTAGGTGTGTTTTGTGCTTCTGGTAACGGACGGCACCAGTGGGGCGTAGACTACATCCTGCTTCGCCCTTAACCCAATAGCGATAGCCTTAGAGGGCGAAGCCTTATACGATATAGAACTGGGGTTACGTACTGTAACCCAGCTTCTATGAGTATAGGCGCAGCCCTCTAAGGGTCGGGCCCCACTGGCTCCGCGAATAGCTGAAGAAAAGCTGTTTGTGTGGGAGTAGATGGTAGGGCCTACTTCCTATTTATACGGAAGTAAGCCCGGAGGTGGGGCCCACGTCATAGGTGTGCGTGGATTAAGTCTGTCAGTGCTGCACACGTGCAGGAGGGATTACCCAATAGCGATAGCCTTAGAGGGCTGCGCCTATACTCATAGAAGCTGGGTTACAGTACGTAACCCCAGCTCTTCCGTTTACGTGTTTAATAAAGAAAAACAATTGGACGGTAGATACACGGATTTATTTAGCATGTTCATTGAAATGCTCAACGTTTTACTGTGATATCTTGTTTCAACAGTTACTTTATGACTTTACTTTTTGTATTATTACTTTAATTTGTATTCAATGTTATATTTATTTTTACCTTGTGTGAATATTGTTTTTCACTCTGACCATGTTGCTGCTATAAACGCCTAGATAAAGTTCCATCTTATCTTATCTTATCTTAAAAGTGAGGTTTTGGCTTACTTAGGAGAATATCTATGTGTGCAGAATTATTATGCAACTAAAGGAAAAACGAAAATGTTCCTATCTAACTTGTTTATATTCACCTAAAGTCCGAATAATAAACATACAACTCAAAATGTACAAATAAAGATTTCTAACGTAAAAAAAAAGACCAGATAATAATACTAACACCCTTCTCTTCAATAACAGTCACAAGCGTTCCATTGATGGAGTCTGTCAGTTTCTTGATCTTTTAACCATCAACTTCAATTGACGATTGTTACGGCTTTATGTATTCCCTGTTTCTTTTTCCCTTCGGTTCCTCTACCCAGGTGTGCTGCATTGCTGTAACGAGGTTCAGAAGAGGTGCACCTGGAGAAAGAAGTCTTTAAAAGCTCCTGGTCAGCAGCAGAAGAGGGAGGCCTCTGGTGTTGGGACTGCTGTGTTTCTGCCTCTAATCCTAGGATGTGTCGTTGAACATGTTACATGTTGATTATGGATTTTATGATTTTAAAGGTGTCTTTTGTGTTCTATTTGGGTCAGTGGTGGAATTTTGTTAGCCCCATAGGGCCATTTTAAGGGTGGGGCGTAACAACGATCAACCACAGCCTCCCAGACTCTGTTCAGAGAGCAATGGAGTACACGCGATTGAGAATTGTCCTTCATAAAATCATGTTCTTCCTGAGAGATACAGACTTTTTCCTGTACCACTGATGGAAGAAAGTGTCTTCTAAAAACTGGCAGTAGAATTGGGAGTTGATTTTGAGTCCATCTTCAACCCGAAAAGGTCCAACTAGCTCCTCTTCAATAATACCAGCCCATTCTAGAACCCCACCTCCATGTTGCTGTGGTCTGAGTCGAAGTGGAGCTCTGAGCCCAGTACTGATCCAGCCACGGGCCCATCCATCTGGTCCGTCAAGAGTCACTCTCATCTCATGAGTCCAGAAAACCTTTGGAAAATCTGTCTCCAGATATTTCTTGGCCCAGTCTTGACGTTTTAACTCATGTGTCTTGTTCAGCGGTGGTTTCAGCCTCCCTCACCTTGGCCATGTCTCTAAACACCTTACCAGGTGTAAGGTGTTTTCTGGGACCTCCAGTTAGGTCACAGTTCTGGAATATGACAGCACTGGAATATAATGGCTTCCTGGCAGCTTCACGTTTGATTCTTCTCTTAATTGTTTTTCTGAACCACTAAATGGCGGGCCGGAACATAATCAAAGGCTTATTTAATTAATTGATTGTTAAAACATGTGACACGTTCGCCTCTGCGGTGCCGTTCTGTGATTCTCCAGATTCCGCCACTGCTCACAAGCTTATTAAGATCCAAAGCTTTAGTGCGTTTTGAATCAATGCTGAGTAGCAGGGACGTGCACAGACATTTGGAGGGGCTATTGCTCTAAACTGGAAAAAGGGACTAATTGTGGGCTTATCATGTTGATTCGGCCACAATATAAAACAAAATAAAACTCGCTCTGTCCAGAGGGGCAGGTCAGACAAAAATGGCAAACGGGCTGTTAGCCCGTACCTGTGCACGTCCCTGCTGAGTAGGCTACAGCCAAACTTGACAGTCTCTTCTCTGCCATTGTAGACCGAATGCTTCTCGTTTTGCGCCGTCCCGTTCAAATGACAATCACATTTCCATGCTCGGGCCATGGCCGGGGGAGGGGTTACAAGGCTCGAGTCTTGTGCTGCATTCACTTGCACTCGGACATTAGGGATTTTCTCTCATAAATGTCCGATGAGCCAAAACTTTTCTTTCAAAACAAAGCTGCCAACTGGGGTGGCAGCATATGCACCACCACCCCTCGCCCTCCATGATCAAGTGGCTTCTATGATTTTGTTGTCAATGTTTTGACTGAACTTTGTTACTGTTCACATATAAGTAAACATTACGTTTGATTGATTTAGTGAGCTGGTGTTATTTTTTTCAAACCACAAACCGCATGTTGGCTATTTCAGCACCACGCGCTATCCACCTACTTATTGATCCACTATCAGCGTCAGTGCACGCCGCTGCCAGATTGTGCCTGTGCTGTGTGTGATTCACTCTCAACATGGATAAAAGTACAATAAGCATTCTTCAGGTGTAGGTAGATTCTCTATTCGGACATTATAGGCTATATGTGCGACTGTCGGTCCAATATTGTAAACACATAAATAAAAAGTACATCTCAAAATAATTTTTTATTTGTATTCTCAAAATAATATTCCGGGCCAAATATTATTGCTGGTGGGCCACCAATGGCCCGCGGGCCGCCTATTGCCGACCCATGATGTAGGGTGTTTATGTCCTTAGGCCACACCCTCCCTCATTACACAAATACACATCACCTGATATGCTTAAATCCAATTCAATTCAAGTTTATAGAGCTTGGAAAATATGCATACAAATTATGATATGGTCAAAATACTCACTTGCCTAATAATTGTGCACACGTTCGATATATTATATCCACTTAAAAAAGTTAAGTACCAGCATACTGTCACTCCGAAGGAGGAGTTAAACCAACTCAGTCTCACAAAAAAACGTGTAATGGCTACGTTGGTCCGCAGGGCAAAACGTAGTATATTCACAAATAACCCTCTCAAGACGTGACGTGGATACAATATTTTTTCCTATTGATTTCTAAAGACCAGTGTCCATATCACGTGATCGCAAACTTTCCTAGCGTGAGAAAAAAAAACTTGGCGGACACCATTTTTAGGGCAAATTCCTAAATTGTAGGATAGTTTGTGGATGTGTAGGATCTATAGTTTGATAGATATTACGAAGATTATTTGAGGTCTCGCCAGGAGGGCGTGTATATACTACGTATGTAAACTACAGTGGTTGCTCTGCGCACCATCTGAAATTGTGAGATTGCTACATCTTTCCCCCTATTAATTTCTATTGACCAGCGTTCATATCAAGTTATCGTCAACTCTCACCGGGTGAATATTTATTATTTCCAGGCTCGCCGTTTTCATAGTAACTAAGGCGCTTACTAGGGACGCATATCATTCCCCTCCCTGTCAAATGATTTTACAGTGATATCTGCAGTACACATTTCTTTTTTCAGAGTTTTGGAAAGCATCACGCTACCCATAAGCCTCAGCTATCTTTGAAGCTCGCTGATTGGATGTCTTACTCACAATGCACGTTGGGATATGGTGATTATGTGATAAAAAATATGAAAACAGTTATTTAAAAGAAAATAATACTTTATTCTGTGTGTGCTTGCTTTTCTCTTTGGAATGCATCACATAAATGCATTGTAATACACGGTTCGGCTGCAATAAATATTACACATCTGCCATAGTTCTTTATTTACAGAGCCCCGATTAGAAGACTTTTGGATAAACTGAAAACGTGACGTGGATAGCAAATAAATCCGCAATTAAACACCATCTTCAATTTCTCTTCACACAATACGTCTCCTCGCAATATCAATAGTAATTTGGCTTTTATATACTTTTATATTTGTTCCAATCAGTAGATAGGCTATATTTTACACCTTTTTGCATACCCAAAATTAACTAAAAAGCATGATGTCGATTTTAGAGCGCCCCCATTTGGTGATTCTACCCTGTTAGGCATATTCACATAGTTTAGGTCAAGTGGTCTTTATAAAAATAAAATAATAGGTAAAATTATCTTGCTCAACTAAAGTCAGTTACAACAGAAAAAACCCTACCCATGATAATAATTATTTGGTAGCTCTGATATCTCTACTAACGAAAGAGTCTTGGCCAATTACTTTAACCTGTTAAGCCCCAGGGTCTCAGGCTCAAAAATGACATGCCCAGAACAAATGACTATATCTTCACTTCTAAAAGGGGTAAATTAATAATCTTTTTTTCTCAAAGCAATGATACACCTGTGAGTTGGATGTAGAAAAGTCAGAATCAATATAGATGTTTTTATTTTAAAGTAAATTCAGATTGAACAAAAAAAAAACATTACTTATCGTGAAAACCACCCTTAAATGATGGGATAGTAGCCAAAAAGCTTTAGGAATTCTAATTATATCATATAAGTAACAAGATTAATGCAAAACAAGTTAAATTTCACATTTTTAGAGAGGTTTAGAAAATAAACCCCACCTCTGGGGTCATTTGGGTGGATTTGCCATATCTCTGGAACCCATTTGTCGATTTTGGTGATTGACACAGAGACATTGGATTAACCTTCAGCAGCGTTTATATGCGTTGTAATGCCCTTGAACACAACTTTTGATCAGAAAACAGCAAAGGTAAGACGTATTTGCCGTTTTGGCCCGTAAAGTGTGTTGTCTTTCCTGGCTTTGCTGCCGTGAGTTTTGGTCGCACAGTGATGACACGTATACCAATGGAATCTGTGGAATCTCAACTTTCATAATTTTGTGCAGATAGCATGAAGTATAAAATATCTCTACCGTGAGTTCTGTGCTAAGTGTGTTAGCATTTTTTCGGTTAGTGCTCGGATTCAGAGGCTTTGTGTTACCCTTGTGCTTCGTTTAGCTAGAAATGGTTAATATTGTCTGATAGCTGAGTTTCTTCCCGTTAAGTGGGTATGACACATTAATAGGTTGTTAAATGTTAAGAAGCCCTGAGACACAGTTTTGTGAATATTGTTGGGTTTGCCCCCGCCGGTTGCTGTCATTTACATTTGTCATTTTTAATTGTCTTATATCCAGATTAGATACAGACACATTCAATTACACTTTCATTCATTACTCAGATATATAAGTCTTCTTTGTATAGATCCCACATCTGATTGCATACATTGAACCCATTTGATTTTGCAGGGATAAAGGCTAATTAAGGGTCCAGTCACTAACAACGGTGCGCGAAAAGACAGGAAGAATGACGGTTAGTCTATGTGTAACTTTGGCGGCCATTATCTGGGTGTTTTTATTGTAATCTTGTTGTCTTTATTGCTGGAGAAACTATGGTAGGAAATAAAATGGAAGAAATAAGTCACAGGATAATTCAGCAACGTCAGAGATGGTTTTGACCAAATCTTTAAAGAAACCTGGGTTCCTTGCTTTATCCCAGATTAAGCTGTTGTACTTGATTCAAAATTAAAGCGCAGAATTCAATTTTTTTTGGGAAGTTTTGCTTCTATTGCAAAATGTAAAATGCACTAAAGGAATGGAATACTGTTCTGTTTTATAATGTTCTTTTTTTTGTTTAAATGGACCAGGCTACCAATGCATTAGTTGTGCAACCCTGTGTTGCAGAATGGAAATCTAATATTCTAGAATTGTTGAATCTTTAACTAGTAAAAATAGTGTATGCACTTACCTTAGGTTTTTTGACAAAACATGTTGCCAGTCAAAGTTTACGTCACTGTGTATCAAGTTGCACTTTCCATTTAGATCAAATACTCCATTGTCTAATCCAAGAATTGCACTGGCTGAAGGGACATAAGCAAAATGTAATATTATATTTGGCTATCTATTATAAAGCAACCTATTGGCTATAGAAATGACCACAACATGGACTTATCAAGTAAAGTAAAGTACAGTGTGTGCTTGTCTTACCAGAGAGGTCATATTCCAAGAAGATCATAGTAGAAGTACATGTGGAATTCAGCAAAGTAATGAAGTTAGAGTTCTTTTTCTCCAGCTTGGCAGTTGTTGACACATTATATATAGGAGAGGAAACCTTCAGAGTGGCACTGAGAGATCCAAAAGCTGGGATAAACACACTTGAAGGAAGATGAAAGGCAGTTTCAGGGACTTCAATTTTTTGCTCTGGGATAATGATGGTTGGAAGTTTGAAGTTTATAATCTGGTTTGTGATTTCATTTAAGCTGATACTGTGCTCTCCAATGTCAAAGGATGTTGGTAGTGTGAAAGATGACACTGTGATTTCATATTGTGGAATCTTAAATGAAAGGAAAGACATTTTCCCCTGTAGATACTCTGTTTCAATAATGTAACTGGGCACTGACATTATTGGCAAGAGAGGCAACATGATTTGAAAGGCTGTAGTGGTGATAACCTTAGGCATGTTTAGGTTCTTTGGATGAATTGTAAAGGGTTCCACATGCAAGTTGGTAAATGGTACATCAAAGGCTGGAACTGAGATGGCAGGGGGGAGAGTGAGATGATCAGGGACATCTGGCTTTTCAAATCGCATGTCTATCTTCCTGATTGAGAGTGGAATTTCTTTCATCCAAAAAGGCACTGCAACGCTAATTTCTGGGATATTAAAAGTCATGCTGTTTTCAAATAGTTTAAATGGTATTTTATACTCCTGGCCATAAATAGTCTTTGTGTATGCAATGCTGGAAGATATGTTAAAAAAGTGTAAGTCATCCAAATGTGTGACCTGGTCATACTTGAGAACATCCCAGATTGTTTTCTGATATACAGGAAGCATAACTGACTTCAGGAAAGCTTGGTGGCCTTCCACTGATCTGGTCAAGTCCATACGTACTTCGGATTCATCATTGGAAATGAGTAAATCATAAGCATGGATGATGGATGCCAGCTGCTCCTTACCACTCCAAGCGAAAGTCTGTTTGCCCGAGCTGATAGCAAGGTTGATGCTCTGAAAGAGTCCAGTATTACCCAAGCTACTTGGCTGACTTGCATCAATGTTTAATGTAGTCTTGAAAGTTGTTAGAGGAACAACATCTAGTTCTCCTATAACAATGTGCTTTCCATTAGTGTTGAAAGATGCAATATCAATATTATTATTGCTGGTGTGATCAACTGTTGCAAACATTCGCCGTAATGAGACCTCAAGGGCCATGTTATTATTTACATCAAACTGGAAGACTTTATTGCATGTGCTTCGTTTTAGTTTCTCCTGTTTGTCAATGTTTGAGTTTAAGACCGTCCTAACCGTTGATCGTAGGTTATTGGCATTAAGGTAAAAACTGGCCACATTTTCTAGCTCTCCATCAAAGTTACAACTGTCCATTAGTGTTATATCTGACTTCCCTTCTGTGGAGGTCTCTAATGACACATAGGAAGAAGGTGCTTCCAGGACCCAGTTTATATCAAGATTTCCTTTTCCTACCAACCTAACCAGAGGAATGTTTAACATATATTTTATTTTTTTCTTAGAAACTAAAGTTGCATTTGTCTTGGTATTTCCGGTGAGTTCCTGACCGAACTTTAGATTTAAGAAGGGTAGATTGATTTTTGCAGTGTTTACTAGAGAAGCTTCCAAGCTCCTTTCGGTGAGACTAACATCACATTTGTGGTTTGCTTCTACATGTTTATGTTCTAGGTACACAGTGGTGACCAGTTGTATTCCTCTATTCTTTGCCAAACTGGTGGTGCCATACATTTTTCCATTTAAAATGTCAAACACAGATGTTGAAGAAGTGCTGAACCGTGCAGCAATGTCTGAATAGTTGAAAAAGCCAGCATTAGAACTTAAGGTGATTATAGTGGATTTGAAGAAGAAGTCAAAAGTTATATTACCCAAGGCTGGGATCAAAACGTTGTTTTGAATTGCTGGTAGTGTGAAAGTGGGGAGTTGTATTTCACCTAAAGTTTCTGGAACATGGATAACAGGTAAACCCAAAGATGGTAGAACAAGGGTATAGGATGGCACAGTAAAACCTAGTGCTGGAACTTTGAAGCTTGGTGTACTGACTTCCTTGGGGACAAAGTAACTAAAGGCCGGCATCTCAGCACTAATAGCGGAAACATCAATATTCAATATTGGTATTTTGTATCCAGGGACAGTGAAGATTTGAGGAGGCAGACTAGAGGTGTCTATTTTGTGTTTGATATACTGTGACTTTGCTTTGTTGTACGAATCTTTTAAATGTGCAACTACTTTGTCTCTACATTGTTCAAAATAAGCCTGGATAAAGTCGGCGTTGTCTATAATTACATTGTAAATTGGTTCAAGGTGTAATTCAAAGATGTGTGTATCTGGGTTCTTGTAGTAATGCATTTTCAGGTTGATATCGAATGACTGTTGAGGATTGGTGAGCAAGGTTGTAAATCCAGCATTTTCCCACAGAGAGAGCTCTTTGACCTCAGGAATATTAATATTGAGATAGGGTACGGTTATCTCTGGGATAGTTAGAGGAACTGTCAAAAAGTCAAAATTAGCCTCTCCATTAGCGTATGAGTGAAAGAAGATGTCAAGGTCATTGTTTTCTGCTGTAAAGTTGTGATTGTATTTGTACTGGTTAAATCTTGCCAAAGTAAAACAACAAGCATGCTGCTTTTCAGAATTTAGTACAACACTATAATCCTGCTGGAGATCCACTTTACCAGTAAGTTTTAATGGGAATATCATCTTGGAGTTTACTTTATTCTTGACATCAAGCACAATTTCAAATGGATGGACCATGAATTCCAGAGAGTTGGCAATGAATCCAGTCAGGCTTCCAGTTAATTCAGCATTATGAGAGGCTATCACCGCAATTTTTAAGTCCGAAATATTAGCCTCTGCATTTAAAATCATAACACTGTTCTTGACAGATGGTACTTCAGTTTCCCATTTTGCTAAAACAGTGACATGGTTTAACATCACGGATTCAGCGGTCAGCATTTGCTTCAATTTCATGGCCTTACAGTCTGTTTCTCCTGCAAAAGTAAATTTGGCAGTGCTAAAATTGATGTTGAATTCAGCATTGCTATTGTATGTACCTTCATCAAAATAGTCTTGAATGGACCACTTTCCATTACCAGTAGTTTCACCAGTCAAACTTATTCTACCTGAATCCAGGCTGGCTGTTATATTATGTTTCACCGATGCCTGATTTGAAGTTTCAATTGATGGGTTGTCAACGCTGTGGTCGTAGTTTGTGTCTATTACTGCAAAGATACCATTCTTTAATGTAAGTTTCATATTGTTGACCAGGTTTGCAGTGTAGATTTGGGTTGTAGCCTTGGCAGTGGTCTTAGCAGAAGCCTCTGCGGAAGAGCCAGTGAGTGTCATGGATACTCCATGATCTATTGAGAAGGCGACATGTGTGGCTTTCACGGTTTCTGTGAAAAGCAACTTCTTCATTCTAGGAGCTTCCAATTGTGCAGTGGCTTCATATGTGTATTCAAGGGGCCCAATGGGTGATTTGGCAAAAGAGGTAAGAGTGGCTGTAAACTGTGGGTTTTTTGGTGTGGATGTTGAGTTCTCAATCTTCCCTGTAGTGTGAAGAGTGTACTGTGAGGAGTTCACTGTAAATTCTCCATGAAGTTTGCCAAAGATTGGGATACAAATGTCACTTCGAACCTCAGGTAATGTGAACACTGGAATTGGGAGCATTTTGATTTTAAAATCATTATAATTTAACTTGGGGAGGATGAAGGCTGAAAATGTTATTTCTGAAAGACTTATTTCCGGTAAGGTGAGATCTGGTATTTCAGGTAGGTAGAGAAATTTGAGGTCACCAAAGATTTCCCCAGGGTCATGAAGTTCGATCTCAAATTCCCTGATGTTGTCTATGATATAAAGTATGTTTGCTTTGATCTCATCAAAGTCAATGGTGAAGGCAGAAATTGTGTAGGTGTTGAGGACGGTGAACTCAGGGACTGAAATTTGAGCTGGGATGCTGATCTCTTGCAGTTTTTTCAGGTTGATTGTAAATGCTGGAATGATAAGGTCAGTGAGAGGTATAGTAAAAGTGGAAACTTTAATCTCAGCTGTTCTCAGTGCAACAAGAACTCCATCTACAGTTTGCTTGATTTGGGTGATGATCTCCTTATCATTGGCAAGTTTTCTGATCTCAACTGTCAGTTGGTTAAACTGTGCAGAAATGTAGGCAACCACATTAGTGTAGGATTCACTTGCTCTTTTGAGGTAAATGTACATTTCGTTTCTGATATCCATGTCAAGGATTCTTTGTCGCATATCTTCGAGAATATCTTGCACTTTCATCTTGATGTCATTGTAAAATGTGTTGTCAATCACAGTTTTCAATTTATTCAAGGCATCAGCAAGTTTAGTTTTTTTTAGGTTGTCCAAATATGTGAAGGTGGAACTTTGGATCTCTCTGAAAAATTCCCTTACTGCCTCAAGTTTTTGCACAACCTCATATGTTTTAATCTGTTTGTTGATATCATTTGTTAGATCAGCAATCCTCTTGTTGGACTCGTCAACAAATGCACTGTAGTCAAATTCCTTCAGTGACTTAATCATTGATGATATATGTTTATGAAGCTCATCAATTATTTTCCTAAATTCAATTTCTTTGAGCTGTCTTGTCACACTGAGCAGAAGTTGCATACTTTTATCATAAACAAATTCAAAATTGACAGATTTCAAAGTTTCTACAATCAACTGCACAGTCTCATCAATTTTAAATTCATTGACTAGAATCACTAGCTGATCTAATAATTCTTTACATTTCTCATCAAGACTGTATTTTAAAAGATGATCCCTAATGTAGAAATACAGCGTATTGATTTTGTTGGGGATTTCATATTCATCAATCCAGTTGACAATAACATCGTTCATAGATTCCATGACTTTTGCTATCTCCGAAGAGGGGATTCTATATGACAGCTGCTCAAAATAATTTGCCAAATCTATTGATAGAAGGTAATCCTTTAAATCTTCGAAAAACATTTTAAAATCAAAGATATGAATGGCCTGTTTCATTTCAGAAAGTTTGTCTTTGATTTTCTCCAAGACTCCATATTTAGAATCAAATTCTCGAAGCCACACAGAACTGCTTTCTGTGAGCTTCTGAAAATCAATCTGTCTGATGATGTCCTCGATGGTATCAAGTACTTTGACAAGTGAATGCTTAATGTCATACTGTTCATCAATGGACCAAAGCTTATTTCCAATTTGTGAAAGTACATCTGTTATCATGTTGACAAGGTGTCTGGACTTGACATACTCTTTTATTGTAAGGATGAGATCTCTTACTTTAGTGGCAAAGTCCATTACTGTATGTTCAACCAACTCTCTCAAATTATTCACAGCAACCTCCAAATCATTCATAGTTACAGCAAACTCATTGACCAGATAATCAAATTTTACTTTTACTTTATTTACTTTGTTCTCTAAGTCCATTTCTTGCATGAAGTGTGTCACTTGCATAGGTACCCTGTCTAGCTTGGCTCTGAAGTCAGTGATTAGCTGAATAACATCTAAATTGTGGATGAACTGTTGAAGTGATTCTAAGGCTTGTACAAGTGTGTTCTTGTACTGCTCCAAAGCAACAGGAAAGCTTTCAATTAATGGGATGTCAATGACGTGACAGTCACTGTTCTTGTCATACTTAATGAAACCAGCCATACTAAATTCTTGTATTTCTGATTTTGTGTCTTTTTTTCCCAAATTCTTGAAAATGTCTGTTAACATTACTCCTGAAAATTCTAATCCAATCTTCTCAGGATTATTAAAAGTACTGATGTCTTGGTTATAAGCATGGTTATTTAGTTCAGATTTGACTTTCCAGGTCAGAGATTGGTCACTTGGTGTCAGGAGGCCATCAAACCGGTTTTCTAAATGAGTGGAAGACTCTCCACTTGGAAGCATATGTGTGGTTGAGACCCGGGTGTCATGTGAGTGTGTAAAAGCTAGGGGCTCAGCTCTAATTAACAACTTGCTGTTCAGCTGTACGGCGTGCTTCCCATATATATTCATTTCTCCATCACTGTTTACGATCGCATCAACAGTGAGCCTGAAAGGCTGTGCCATGGTGCGAATAGTACTGTCAAAACGTAGAGGTTCTGACTTTATTTGTGCCTCACAGTTTAACTTGGAGGAAAGTCCAGCAATCTCAAGTTCACAGTTGTGACTTACTTGGGCATCCGTTAAATTCCCAGACATGTTGTATTTCATTTTACCAGCCATATTGTCAATACTCAGCTCATAGGTGTGTTTAATGTTGTGTTCTTCTCCATATGCTCCCTTCATATTTCCACTCAGATCCATCTTAATTGGCTCAAGCTTCATGTGGCCAACATTGTTCAAATTGATATCATAAAACCTGAGGTCATTTGACAAATCAAATGACATAACAAATGGCTTAATATTTACCCTAGTGTCTTGCTTGTAGTGCATATCTTCACAGATAAAGTTTTTAGTCTTGGATTGGAGGGCTAGGGTCCACAAAGTTAGGGTCAGTGTGTGGCTATTTTCTGTATTCATCTGCTTGAATGTCCCCATGGTATTGCTAGTAAAGGCCAGAGCCCTTCGGTTCAGAATAATGTCTATGTTGTTTCTTGTGGTTGCGTCATATGCATGGCCCTTGAAGACACCATTCAAAGAAGCTTCAGCAGCTGTGATTTTAACTTCAATGTTCAGCTCTCCCCTGCACTCCATAGCCATTGTTTTGACCCCGGAGGAAAGGGATGCTCCATTGGTGTCAATGGCACCACTGAAAGTATTCTCCACTGTGACAGGGCTACACTGAATGATGTTAGTTCCACTTGTGGTCAGACCATTTCTGCTAACCAAAACAGAAGCTTTGTGCAATCCACAACCTGTGTCCAATGTGAGAGAACCTTCAGAGTTGACCTCAAGACCATTTGAATCCAGGGATCCTGTTATAAGTGAAAATGCTCTATTTGAGTCACCATCTGCCTGTGACTCAATTCTGAGGATGGCCATTTGACTGGACACTCCAAGCTCAACTTTGTTATTGAGTGATTTACCCATTGCTGAGGCAACTGCATTGCACTTTAGGGTCAGTTGAGCATCTTTATACTTGAGGTCTGCTACATGGTTGAAGACATCCTTTTGGACATTGGTTTTGGACACAATGTTCAACTCAGAGTTTGCGTAAACTCCTTGGATCATGTTGTGAACTTCCATGAATGGCAAGTTGAAGTGAAGGTTGGAATCTCCTCTTCCTTTTCCCTCAAGCGGACGCACGTTATAGCTGTGGGTGTAGGAGGTATTGGTGTAGAATGAACATATTTTGAGCAATCCGTCAACTGTGCCATCTCCTGAGACTTTACTTGAATCAATAGTTGAAGTCGACTTAGCAGAGTAGTATAGAGATGCTTGCAGGCCAATTGGACTAGAGGCTTCAATCTTGTAGTTGGCTCTTGCATTCAATGTGTTTGTTACCGTTAATGTGTTAAAGACACTGAAGCTTGTGTCAATGAGGCTATGGCTGAAGGAACTATTCAGAAGGTACTTCAAATTATCATTGGCTTTTCCTGACATCATCCCGGTTCCTTGAAACAGACAGACAGAAAGTATTTTATTATCAGAATTCGCAACACACAAGCTTAATATGTTATTCTGCATCATACCAGATCAGACCTGAGCCGTTATAAATAATAATAAATTATACAAAATTATAAATTATAAAGAATATAATTATGAATCACAAACAAAAAGTGTTAACAGGCTTTGCTACAACAAATAGGTAGATCGTCTCTGCAGTTACACTTTCTTACACACACATAAATACAGCACACAGTGTCTCAATCCAAACTATTTTCTGCAAATTTGCAAACACTTTGAAATAGCTGAATCAATAAATTGGCATAGTTTAAATAAGTTAAAATAAGTAAAGTTAGTCGTTAGTTTGTTTGTTTGCCGTTTAATAAGCCGGGTAATGTACAGTGAGCCGGTCATTATTGGAGGAAAAAAAACGCGGACAGTATGATCACAGAGAATGATGCGAAGCAGAGGGAACTTGATCGGGTGTTTTTTTTTTTACGTTTGAGATGTTCCTGCATCACTGTGGTGCTCCCGTACCATGCAAGTTCGATTTTAACACACTTTTTACTGTTGAAGTGAAGTGCTCCCAAACTGTTGAAGAATTTAGTCGGACCATGCTTCTCTACGCCTCCGCAACTAATTTGGTCATCGATTTTAATCGATTATGTCGATTAGTTGTTGCACACCTAGAGATGATATGACTGGACAATGCTATTTTTTTATACCTTGTTTTTTATGAATTGTATTTTTTTGAATATGTTCTATTTTGGCAGAGTTATCCCCAGTAAAACAGAAAAACAATAAATACAAATAAGGGGTTTTACCCAATTACTGACCTTCAAGCTTGTATGAAAGTAGGTTGAAAGGTGATTGGGCCATTGCCTTGTACTGTACAATGTAGTTGGGGACATCCACAGTGTTGTTGCCCCCAGAGATGGAACCTTCCCAGCTGTAGAAGTTGCTGTTGATCTTGGTGGATGCTTCAACCAGACCGAGAAGGGGGACAGTCAAATCCAAAAAAGGAGGTATAGTGAATGATGGCAGATGAACGGTTTTGGCAGGAATATTAAGGCCTATTTTTGGTAAATCTATAAGGGGAATAGAAACAGTTGTTGGTATGTTCAGCTCTTCTGACGTTTTGCCTCCATGTGGAAGAGGAATTGAGATGGCCATCTTATCCTTGTTGAATTGGTATCGGAACAAGCTGTCACTGTTAAAAAAAAGCATAATCAATATTATTCCAATGTTGAAAATGTAATAATAAAGTTACCATGAATAGGAAACCACATGACACAACAAATTCTTTAGTTGAATCGGTAAATTATGGTTTATGATCTGTAAAATCTGAAAGCAAGAAGTATTTTTAAACTCTAAAAAAACTTACGAAAGCACAAACAGTTTCTCTGGCAAAGCTGGCAGGTTCAGATCTGAGATGCTTCTCTTACTTCGCAGATTTACAAGATAGGGGATGCGTGCTGTCAGTTTGTCCAACCATATATCACCTGCCTTCAGGGTGACATCACATTTCTCTTTAACAAAACTTCAAAGTTTGAAAGCTATTTTGATTCCGATCATGCTCATTTCTTCCTGTCAATGTGCTGTAATCAACATCAATGACTGCACTAGTATATGGAAACCAGCTTAAGCAGTACAGCCAGTTGGTGTTACTGTTCATACCAGATATTTAATAATTTGCTCCAAAATATGTGTTTGTATATTTTTTTGCACATCACTATGGCATAATGGCCCACCAAACAAATAGTCAATGAATCCTTAGTCACAAGGCTCCATTTTCACAAAAAATATTTCTATATTTCTTGAAGATGGTAGTTTATATAGTGTTACATGTCCAAGTGATACCTCAATTCCTTTGGTGACTATGTGACGCAGTTTCATATCAGTCTTTGCCACTGTCTGGTCCAGGATATGATCAATGAGTTGTTGCAGCTGCATGTGATGATCAACTATACTTGGGATCAGTTTATGAATCTCTATATTCATGTCAGATTTCAGTTCCACCTCAAACTTGTCATCATCTGTAAAGAGAAATCCCAATCCACCAACAAATTAAGGATGAAAGAATGTTTTACATCTCCTTTCTGTGCTGAAGTGAGTGATGAAAGTTACCAAATTTTAGGGAAGCTTTTTGTTGGTAGGATGTCTTAGGGAGGTTGATGGCTGTCACTAAGTCCATGAGCACATCCTTATCCTTCTTTATGGTTGCAGTGACAGAGGCTTCAGTTTTTAGAATGGGAATGACCATCTGTAGCTGCAGCATGGCGTCATTCATCATATGAAGTCTAAAACAAGGACATACATATTGGATTATTTCTCGTCATTTTCATTTTCTAGTATGTTTATAAAACAAAAAATCTCTCAAGACACCGGAGAGCACAGCTGAACTTATTATTTATCTTTAGGTTGGTTTTGCAGAACGATGTACCTTGTATGTCCTACAAGAGCCAGCTGTGGGATGTTCCTGTTGGTGACATCAATAGTAATACCTCTCATCTTCTTTCCTCTGGCATCACTCTCAATTACAGCCAGCCTAATGCCTGCTTCCACATCGTAGTCGGGGATGACAACCTCAGTGGTGAGAGTATTTTTGTTGCGGTTATATTTCAGAGACGCAGTAGCCTCGAGTGAATCGAATCCTAGAATCAGCAACAAATTATCTTTTTCAGTGTTTGTCATAGGAACAATATCCAACCCTGTTCCTTTTTCACGAGCTTGCATCCAAAGACAACTGCAGTTTTTTAGAGACACCAAGGCCACTTCCATATAATGAGGTCATAATTTGTGACCAGAATTTGACTTTATACATTGGTTATTCATGGAGACACATGATTAAGTAATAATTCTAGGGCTCTCTGCAAATGTTAGGTGCTAAAAGGCCAATGCTAAATGTGCATTAGGTGCTCCTTTGTCATGTTCATGCAAATAATGATCTGAAATAAGTAGAACTTAAACTAGGAATTCCGGTTGTTGGCTATAAACTTGAAACCAATAAATTGTGCCTATTTACATTTAGGTGCAAATAGCACTCATTTCAGGCTCTGTATTTTCCCAGATAGAACACTTGACATGCAGTCAGAAGTACAAACATGCCCGGCGCCGTGGGAGGGCCAGGCCCTCCCATTTGACATTCCTGCCCTCCCCCAATAAACACGTTTTTTATTATTTATAACATTTAAAGATATACATTTTTTTATATTTTAATTATAAATAAACTGAAATTTTTTGCTACGATGTATGTGATGTCAGAGAGTAACTGTTGAGATATAACATACAGACATGGATAGTGTATGACTCCATGTATTACTGTGTACCATATATTGTTTATGTAAGTAGCTGCGACTACTACTGTGTTCATTGGTTAGCGCTGTACCACATGATTGTGATGTCACTACCTGGGGTATAAGACCACTGGAAGTCACGCCCCTTCTCTCTCTGTCCTCAAGTCTCTTGAGATGTGTGCCTATAATAAATAACGCCGTGATGAATGGCTAAACTTGAACTGCTGAGATTATTCACCTTTCTGCTTCAGGAGACAAAAGGTATAAGTCTAAATCTGCTAACAGGTTATGGGCCCAGATACGATGAATTATTTTACAGTTTGAAGCGCACGTGCGATAACAAGGCGAGAAGATTGCCTGTTAGCACGGTTAGCATAGGAGTAGCTAGTTAGCCACGTGTTAGGCTAGTTTAGTATCGGGAGAACCGAGGGAAGCTAAAGCTAAGCTAACATGGACCTAAGCTACTGAAGCTACAAACGCAAAAGCCATGGCGAATGGAACCACGAGGAAGAGCAAGTGGCCCACGTTCGACGGGAAAGCAGAAGAGTATGAGCTCTGGGAAGAGAGGATGCTGTGTTGCATGCACGGAGTGGGATTGAAGGAG